TGAACTTATCATCAGATTATAGATTAAATAAATTTAATTGACTTTTTTAATTCGTATAAAATTATTATTTTTTATATATCGATCCAGGGAGTAATCATTTAAGCAAATCTCTACTACACATTATTTAGTAGTATTAGTGATATATTCCTTTTCTGCCACTTTTATGTGTGAACACAACAAAGAACATGACATCAACACAAGTCTCTTCTAATTAAAACCAATTAGAGGAAGAAAAAAAAAAGTCAATTTATAGGATTTGACTTTCTAAGGGGAGAATTGTATGTTAAGGGCGTGTTTGATTTAGGAAGAAAAAGAAAAGTGAAATGATTTTTCAATTATTTGATACGAAAGGAATGAATGTTAAAACTTTTCATTCATCCGGGAATGAATATAATAAAAACATATACAGAGTGTCGGTCTTAAATATAAGTAAATTTTAAATAATTTGATTTTATTTAAAATTGTAATCTCTCAAATATCTTTATAATATACTACTTTTAGATCTAATTATAAGTAACATATAATAAATCATCCAAATCAAGAAAAGTAGTTAATATGTTAGTTTTAATTAATTTTATTATGAATTTAAATTTTATTCTAAATATCATTTATTTTAAGTTATTATCATATTTAATTTTAGCTATAAATAAATATATAAAAAATAGAGTTAACAATAAGTAAAGTGTATAAAAGAAATTTAACTCTAAATAATTTTAAACACTAAACTTATAATCATTAAAACTAAACATAGTATATTATAAGATAAATAATATGGATATAAATGTAATTCTATGTTAAGAAAAATATTATTTGTTATATTAAAATTTGATATAATTCAAAATTGATTAAATATAAAATATTATATTGAGTTAGAATGACCTGAATCACAATCTAAATGTGTACTATTCGTACCGCTATGCCGAGCTCGAGCTCAGCATTACAGCGTGGAGTGATCTCGGACACGCGCTAGGCAACGTCAACCCGACATCCAAATAGGTCATAACTGATCTCAGGTCCAAGGCCCAATAAAACCCTAATTCATACTAAAGTACGTGCATTACTTATACGATACCCATATATCCACAAACACTAACTTTAGCATCGGAGTCTCTTTTGCAGGTACCACCCTCGCCTTGGAACAACAATCGTACTCAGCGAATGAGGCTCACCAATCTTACCCAGCAGATCTTCCCTACGATTGATCTCCGGTAAGAACAAAATGTATCCATAAAATACAATAAATTTAATTTATTAAAGCTGAATCTATCAAAAAGTCTTTCTGGACCGAGCGGGACATAAACACTAAAACACCCCTTCTTTTATGCACACCCAAGCGAATGAAATGAGGTGCTTGATTTTCTCCTCAAGTTTTGCACACGTCTAGGCATGACAACGGGGCGGGACAGGGCGAGTTTTACGTTCCCCCGTCTCCGCTCCCGCAAATTTAAACGGCTTCCGCCCCCGTTCTTGATACCTGCCGAGGATAAAATCTGGGTTCCCATTTCTGCCCCTGGCGGGGTTCCGGTTTTCCCGTCCTGCCCCCGCCTTTGCTCCTATTTTTTTTTCTTCTTTTTTTCTTTTAAATAAATATGAACAATTTAAATAATTATATTATTAAGCGAGGCGGGACGGGGGCAGGTATGAGGCAGGGGCGGGGTCGGGTCGATATTAACATCATGCCCCCGCCCCCGTTCCTGATTTTATTAATCAGAGAAAACCCGAACCCGAACCCGAATCTGATAAACACGAGTTTTTCGCATCCAAATCAAGCAGATTCGGACAAGTACCTACGAGGACAGATTAAATTGCCATGCCTACACACGTCTCACACCCTCATTGCTTTTTCATTTTTATTTTCAACTTATGTAAGGCCTTTAATGCAACCACATTGCATGTCATGTAAGGCTACTGATGGTATACTATTATTACCAAAAATAAATTAAATAGATTTTAAATTAAAAAAAGATATAATAAATAAAGTCTTGGGTTTTCTATTTGTGCCCTTTTCAGTTGCAACCTTTCGCGCGGTCTGTCACCACTTCAAATGTAAAATCTCAGTCCTCCCTCCAGGTTTATTTTGTCGGAAGGGTTTGGTAAGAAAACGACACATTTTAAAAAATTAACTGGTTGAACTTGTTGACACCAAAGAAGATAGTTCTTGGTGTCTAGTTTTTCGGAAATAATGTGCGAGAAGGTGAGGGAAGGGGATGAGGAGGGTTTTACCGGTGCAACATGAAAGTGGGGTGGTGATGAGGGTGGTATTGTTGAGGAAGACGATGGTGGTTCTTCAGCCATGAGTGGAGACAGACAGTGTAGTCAGGCAGAAAGAAAAGAAAGGTGGTAAGGATCGACAGCTCTATGATACCATATTAGAATTGTGAGAGTCTTAAAGATTGGAGAAGGAGAGAGTGAGAGAGAGAGAGAGAAGAATTAACAGAGAAAGGGAATTGTATTTTCAATAATGAATCTGTAATACAATTGTCTTATTTATATGTTTCAATAGCTTCAAAGGAAGCTATAGAAACATTGACCTGGTGAACAGGTAATCAAGCTAAAACAGAAAATAACTAACTGAAATAATAACCCTATACATTGATAAATCTAATACAATATTAAGGAGTAAAGATATACTCCAATAACCTTCAACCTTCTACCTCTACCATATGTGCATCTATTGAGTCTCCTGATTTAATCTATCATCACCTAGTCATCCAAGCTTGAATAAATTAAAGAAAATGGTACCTCATCTCTCACGGTTGGAGTCCTTGAAGTGTGAGTCGTGTCAATTAGAGAAGCATGTTAGAGCTTCTTTTCCTAATAGTATTAATAGTCGAGTTGTGTCTCCTTTTGATGTCATTCATTATGATGTTTGGGGTCCTAGTCACGTTTGTTCTCTTTTAGGACACAGATATTATGTCACCTTTACTGATGATTTTTTTAGATGTATTTGGATATTTTTAATGAAAATTTGTTCTGAGTTATTCAATATTTTCCAAAGTTTCTATTTGAAAATCAAAACTCAATTTGGCAAAGTAATTCAGATTTTACAAAGTGATAATGCTAAAGAATATTTTTCAAATTGCTTCAAATCATTTGACTTCCCATGGCATTCTACATCAATCTAGTTGCGTTCATACACCTCAACAAAATGGTATAGTTGAGCGAGAACATAGACATATTGTGGACACTGCTCGTACTCTTTTATTGAATGTCAATGCACCCCCAAAGTCGTGGTGCGATGCTGTCCTCGCTGCAGGGTATTTAATAAATCGAATGCCATCCTCTATCTTGAATGATCAAGTACCTCATTCCCTATTATACCCATTGGATCCCCTTTACTCTATCCATTCTCATGTCTTTGATTGTACTTGTTTTGTCCATGATCTATTTTCAAGACGTGCTAAGTTGTTTGCTCAGACTATCAAATGTGTGTTCTTAAGGGGTACCGTTGTTACTCTCCTGCTACGCATTGGTTTTACACCAACACAGATGTCACTTTCTTTGAAGATACACCATATTTCATTGCTATAGATGTCTCTCTGGTTGACTCAGATCTCCTTTCTCAGGTATTACCTATTCCTAATTTTTATCCTTGTGTGCCTCCTACACTTGCTACTTTAGAGGCACCAGAGATTCCTCCCACACTACCAGGGTCTGGCCATCCTCTACACCAATTTGGGATAACCTATGAGTGTCAGTCACATATTGTTCCTCCCAGTGCTTCTACAATTGACCCATGTGATTCGACCCCTGCTCCGGTCTCCTCACCTATTCTAGCCCCACCTACCTCAATTGACCTGTCCATTGCTCTTCTTAAAGATAGTTGTTCTACTTGTAATCCTCATCCTATTTATAACTTTCTTTCATATCATCGTTTCTCTCCTACCTATTATGTTTTTGTCTCTGCTATTTCCTCTATTACTATTCCCAGGACAGTGCAAAAGGCCTTAACCCATCCAGGATGGTGACAAGCAATGATTGATGAGATGACAGCTTTAGACTCCAATCACACTTGGGTACTTATCCCACCTCCGCCTGGAAAATCTATTGTTGGTTGTCAGTGGGTCTTTAATGTTAAAGTGGGCCATGATGGACAGGTGGATAGATTGCAAGCCCGTCTTGTGGCTAAGGGATACACACAAGTATATGGTTTGGATTACAATGACACTTTCTCACCCGTTGCAAAGATGGCCTCAGTTCATCTCTTCTTAGCCATGGCTGCTATGAGGCATTGGCCTTTGTTTCAATTAGACATCAAAAATGCTTTCTTACATGGTGATTTGAAGGAGGAGATTTATATGGAACAACCTCAGGGTTTCGGAGACTGAACGATTGTCAAGAGTTGTGCTGCGAAGATCACTTTGGAGTTGACGGGCCTTGGCGTTAGTGTGCGCATGAAAATACGCATGGCCCTTGTCCCAAATTTGGAAGGAGGATTTGCATCCTATGACTCGAGTGAGCATGTCCTTGGACATTGATGATTGTAACCAGGAAAGAAGTAACTGATCTTGTTGTTCCCAAGCAAGATATTCTTCAGAGATTCGGTTGGCATCTCTGTTAGAAACATTAAGAAATTTCTGAGGAATTTGAGGATTGACAGAAAGTGATGAAGACGGTGGCCTTTGATGACTGGTTGAACTTGTTGACACCAAAGAAGATAGTTCTTGGTGTCTAGTTTTTCGGAAATAATGTGCGAGAAGGTGAGGGAAGGGGATGAGGAGGGTTTTACCGGTGCAACATGAAAGTGGGGTGGTGATGAGGGTGGTATTGTTGAGGAAGACGATGGTGATATATATACATTTAAGAAATTTTGGGGAAAAAAAGTCCTATTGTTTTAAAAAAAATTAAATAACAATTTAAAATAAAAGGTTTATCCTGTTTTGAAAAAATTGCAAAGCAATGTGGGCGCAAGGTAGCAAAGTCCATGGCGACTCTTTCAAACCAGAAATACAATAAAAAGAAAATAGACCCAATTGTAAAGAAGTTGAACATCACTCCCACCAACAGCAAAAGAAACAGAGCCTCATTCTTCTCTTTTGTTTGCCACCATAATACGGTGCCGTTTGTGTTCATTCATCCCCCTTTCAACAACAACCATCATTAATTACGGTCATGTACGGCGCGTGTTATTAATTATCACATAATCCATCAAATTCAAAATTCTTTACTTCAAATGAAACACTAACCACTATTCAGTTTCACCCTCATCCTCATGACACTCCATCCACACCTTCCCCCCATTTTTCTTTTTCTCTTTTCTTTTTATTTTTATGTTTTCCTCCTCACACTCGCACAGTTTCCGCCGCCGGCCGCCGCGCAGCTCCCCAACGCGCTGACGCCGCCGCCGCCGGGCAACTTCTCGCGGCTGAAGTTCGACAAGTCGATGGCCATCGTGCTGGTGATCCTGGTGGCGGTGTTCTTCGTCCTGGGATTCCTGTCCGTGTACACGCGGCAGTGCGGCGAGCGAAGGAGCTTCGACCTCTCCCTCCCGATGACGCGGCGCCACCGCGGCCTCGACCGCCAAATCCTGGACACGTTCCCGACCTTCGTCTACTCCGCCGTGAAGAGCCTGAAGATAGGGCGCGCCACGCTGGAATGCGCGGTGTGTCTGAACGAGTTCGAGGAGGACGAAACGCTGCGTTTGATCCCCAAGTGCAGCCACGTGTTCCACGCCGACTGCATCGACGCCTGGCTCGCCACGCACTCCACGTGTCCCGTGTGCCGCGCCAACCTCGTGCCCAAACCCGACGACCCCTCCTTTCACTTACCCGATCTAGAGCAGCCCCAATTAAATAGCCCGACCCGACCCGACGAGGACACGGGGATTGCACCTGCGACTGCGCGTCCGCTTTCGGTTTCTCCGAAGGTGACTCCGCGGTCAAGGTCAACGGGTTTGAGGATCGCGAGTTGGTTTCCGCGGTCTCACTCGACGGGTCACTCGCTGATTCAACCCGGGGAGAATTGCGAGCGG